GTCTGTGAGAAATTTCAATGGGCTCAGTGCTGTTACCCACCAGCTAGACATGGGAAGCAAGAGGATGAATGTGAGGTTGGGGGCATTGAGTCAGGAAGAAGATCAGGCAATTCTGGAGCTAGGTAAATTGGGATCATTCCTGGCTTGTCACATCTACATGGGACATTTAGACTATCCACGGGCTGGATACCTTAGGAAAGTTCCTTCTGGCTCTCGGGCTCACTGCACTTTCAACATTGCCAATTTACATCTAGTGTGTTCTTGTTAGAAGCTGAAGGCTCCTCTTCATTTTTGAGCTCCTTACGCCCTGTCATTTTGTCTGTATGAGAGGGTTTTGCTATTCCTTTTTGAGTGAAAACTACTCCCATAGCACGTTGCCATTCACACTCCACCCGGTCTCCCCTACACACACACGCACACACACACACACACACACACACCCCATTCTCTTGTCCTCCCTGAGCCAGTCCTTTCAAGGTTATATCATCCTTTAGTGCCAAGCACCTCCCCTGACCTCTTTCTTCACTCATAGAAAGAGGAACCAGATTTCCCCTGTGTGACTTACCATCAATACAAACAGCAGTTTTGTTTCTGTTATTTCCCCTTTCAACCTAGTGATAAAGTTTGCTGCTGCTGCTCTCCCCACCCCGCACAGGAAGAAAGACTTCCTTCCTTCATCTCTTGACTTTGCCCAGGCCTATGAATAATCTTCGCTTTGTCATGGACTCCGGATGCTCACCTTTTCTAACATTTTTTTTTAAACCCCCAAGAGTTACTCCTCGGCCTCCTTCCCTTCCCCACTTTCTGGTTTTCTCTACCTGGTAAACTTCCTATTCTACCTAGTTAATAGTGGGCGCCCATGAAGTTCATGCCTCATTGATGAGTATCTGGGCGTTGGACTTCCCTATGTCCATTTTCTCTTCTGGTGTATTGACTGATGTCTCTCTCCCTGGCTCTTTCACACTTGCAGTGGTGCTCCCTCTTCAACATCCTGCTTCCTTTTTACATTCCAGACTGTCATGTTGTAGACCATCTCCAATTATAAGCTGAGTGTTTGATATTTTGCCATTTTCCTCTTTGTTAGTGTTTTGAATCCTAATTTTGAATCTGATTTTTAATTATATTGATGGTGTTTCTCTAAATACTTATATTTTGCGCTATAGAACTGTCCATACATTGTCAAAAAACCTTCCGCTGTCAGCACAAATACAGTCCAGCGTCAACCAATAAGGAGAGAAGAAGGGGTAGAAGGATGCTACTGTGCTATTATCAAGGCTTTGCATGGTCCTTGGGGTGTACTGAGTTATTTCCACCAAAACAGTTGAGGTTTCCTTACTACGTGTTGAAGAACTGATCACACGTCCACTATGTGGCAGCCACTCTGAGAGCACATACTTGACTTGTAGGTTAGGTCTTTATACTATAGTCTTTCTTCATTATCTAGAAGTTTGAAAATATATATTTCCCCTCTTTCCCTTCGTTTAACACATTTTAGAACATTCTTTCTTTAAAAATCTTAAGTAGCATTCCCATTTTCTCTTTGTTACACAAGTAGAATCCATGTTTTCATCCTGTTCCTCTTTGCTGAAGTGTGTGTGTGTGTGTGTGTGTGTGTGTGTGTTGTAGCTGATACGTCATCAGATGGCATCTGTGGGAAATACATTTAGCCCTTCATCATTTAAAAATCATTTTTAAATCCTTCCAAATCTTCACACTTCTTCTGTTAACTATCTTCCCTTCTCTTCCATTGTGGTGTGAGCTATTTATATAAGCCACCTAATTTTAAAAGTCCACATACTGTCATAGAACTCATAATAATTGATACCTAATGCGGTTAAGCTTCTGATAACCGTCATAAGCAAAAGAAACTGTATATATGGATGTTGTCTTTCTGGTCTTCCCTCATTACCTGTTCATTTGTCTTAGTTTTATCATTTTACTGGAGTAGATTTTATTTCCCTGAGGACCCTTCTGTGCTACAAACCTGTGATTGTACACAAACACACTCTAAGACAGTGCTTTCACTAGTCCATACTTCTGTTAAAAGGAACATACACTCCTTTACAAATAGCATGGTCTTATAAGCACCCACAAATCTTACAGAAAGCTACCATAAAACTAAGAGAAAAAGCAAGAAATGTTTAAAGGATGAAGAAATACAAGAGTTTCCCTGAGTAGAGATAGTCTCCCACTGTGTGTGTGTGTGTGTGTGTGTGTGTGTTGTTGTTGTTGTTATTTTTTGAAATGTATCAGTATAGGTGCCAGGGATTTTACTGTCTATTCACTCACATTTCTTTATTTGACAAATATTTACTAAAAGGTGACTGTGATCCAGTGTACTATGCTGATACCTGGGGAATCTCAAAATTATAGGACTTGATTCTTACCCTCAAAGAGCACATATTCTCACAGGGAGACACATTTCTAAACAAATTGAAGAGCAATGTGTCTTGTGTTTCTGGCCGAGAGCACAGACTCAGTGATCTGGGAGCCAGCCGCCAGTAGTATGCAGCTAACTTTCCAGAGGAATTCAGGAAGGTCCCTTAAAGGCATTCTATAAGAGAGCTGGGCCTTGCAGAGAGGGAATTGCTTGTCAGGCGGTGTACAAGAGCCAAATTTTGCTCCTCCATCAGTCCATCTGAGGAGAGGGAAACTTGATGGGAAGATTCAAGGAAGACCACACAAAGAATTTTGTACCATAAGAACATTGTATGACAGAAGTAGTTTTGGACGGTGCCAAAAGCAGAGGCTTGGTAGAGATGATTATAAATGAAGGTTGCAATGTTAGACATGTGTGATGTTGATGCCTTTAGAAAATAGCACAAGGCTTAAAAATGAGACCAAATACACAGAAAGACCTCAGTCATAGTACAGAATAGTAATGGGTTAATCGTCACTAAATAAGTCTCTAAGTCGTGAATTCTTGAGAGAACTGACTGGTTTTTCTGCTGTTGACAAGCTCAGAGAAGTTACTTTATTTTGACATCCTTTTTTTGTTTTTACTTATCATTGATGGAATGCAAATTATTTTACTTTTTCTTTTATTTAAAAACGACAAGAATTCCTCACCATCGTTGCACACTGCCGACACTGTGTGTAGAGAATGCCTTAGGGATTTCTCCCAGAGTGTGGGGGGAGGGACAGAGAGAGATACATATGTACGTGGATTTAGGGCAATTAATTTCTGAAACTTGTCCATAAAAAGACTGGTTGTTACTTAGGTTAAAACTATCCTTTTCCTCTGAGTGTTTGCAGTGAGTAAAATGCTTCATGTTTTCTTCTATTGATTGTTTAAAAAATGTTGTTTTTCTTTGAGAAGGATTAAAGGCATACACCTAATTGTTAAATATTAGTTTTTAAAAAACTAGTCTGAGTCTGTCTTTATGGGCTCTGAGTGGTTTCACCTTTAGAAGCCTGTTTTAGGATCTTGCGCCAACCCAGTCCCTTCTCAGGCCTGTTCAGACTAGAATTATCTGGCAGGGGCAATGTCTTTTAAAAAAAAATGTCTTCAGCAGGAACGTCCCAGAAAATGTTCACCTCAGTCTTCAAGTTGGCTTGTGGAGCAATTTACTAAATAGAGAGATGTGAGAATCAAGTGACCATCAGCTGGTATAAATGTTTTTGGTCAATGTAGTCACAGGATCTCAGGTATGCAAGAGCTGGACGGGTTTCAACCACGTGCTCGGTTATGGTGATACCCTGGCTCAGTGGCTCTAACATAACATAACACAAAAGGAATCCAAGTTCATAAGAACACACTTTAATTAGACACCTGTATTTAAAAGGCTGATTTCTCCTCTAGCATAATTTCACCCTGTGGCGCACTGTGTATACATGGGTGCTTTTCTTCCCTGGCCTACAGTTAGAGTTAATTGGACTTTTTGTTCTTAACTGTGTGGGAGGCAGCTTTTTTTTAAAAAAAAAAACAGCTTTATTGAAGTATAATTGATAAAGAACTGCACATATTTCACGTGGATAATTTCATGAGTTTGGATATATGCAAACACCTGTGATACCATCACCATAATCAAGGTAACGGATGTATTCAACACCTCTCAAAGTTTCATTTATCCCTTTGGTTTCATGTCTATGTTTGTGTATATGTTAAGAATCACTTAACATGAGATATACACTGTGGGTGGCAGTTTTTGTTCACTTCTAAAGTAAACTCTGACTTTGTTAGAATAGTAGACTGGCTTATGCTCTGTCAAATCCCTAAATATGATTATGATAGAGTTTGACTCTATTCCTGTTTAGTTACAGAAAGCTACTGGTGCATGAACAAAAATATATGAAATACGATGGATGGGGGTTGGAGGGACATGTGGGGCCAGACTTTGTGAGATTATAGAAAATCATGGAACTGGAAAGCATCTGGAAGTTCTTTTCCTCAAAGAAGCATAGATTATTTCACATTTGTGTTAAAAACAGTGAGTTAGACAATTTTGACTTCGTAAAGTTAGCATTCTGGCAATGCTGTGAAATTGTTCATCTCTCTTCATTTACTTCCACATATAGTCCCCTGGGTCAAAATTTCTTTCTAAAAATGATAATTTCTAAACTTAGAGATGCTTTTTGGGGGCAAAATAGAATTGTCCAGGTAACCACTTTAAAAGACAGAGTAATTCTACTCTTCCTTCAGTAGAATGACGCACGAAGCAGCATTTCTTTCATTTCCAGTAGAACTTTGATGCGAATGCGATTTTTATCTTTCTCAGTGTAGCTTTAAACATCAATGGGTTTCTTTACTTCTTGGTTTGGGGTATAGGTTGCCCCTGTTCTAACGGTGTGGAGTGTAAGCTCTTCAAATTCTAGGTTAACATTTCAAGAAATGGTCTTTATCCGAGTTCAAAGCAGGCCTTCCAACAGCAGGTGGCAGGCTTAACTTTTAATAGTCTTTCCCTCCCTTTAAACTCTTTCTCATACCTCAAATAAATGGTCTTTAGCCAGAATGTATGGGAGCTTTTGTTTATTATTGTTTTTGTTTTGTTTGTTTGCAGTGTGACTAGGACTTGAGCAGAAGTACCTTGGTTACAGTCCTACCACCCACCCTTGGGGCTTGCTTGTCATCTTAATTGTTAGGTAACAGAATTATATAACTCAGCATTTCTAGTTGGAACCTACTTCTTTTCTTTCCTTTTATTGGTAAGCTGAAAATGTATTATTAGTTAATATTCTATGGTGTTGTATATTCTATATATTCTATTCTTTGTGTTTTTAATAAACTTAAAAACTGTATAGTACTGGTTAGTGGTTGACACTAATTTACAGAATAACCTTTAATAAAATTTTATTTACAGATTTTCCTATTTGTATTACCTAGATTAAATTTAAAACAAGGGATAAAAGACCACCTTAACTTTAGTACTAAGATTTGGAGAATAGATACCTTTGAGAATTAAAAATTTACCTTTTCTCATCTAAATGTACATTTCTCATCTAACTGTAAAGATTTATAAAAGATAATCTTTTGTATTTTGGCATTGAAACTGACCACACTAAACCCTTGCCTCACTTTAATTGTTAGCCTTATTCATAAAAGTAGAGTTATGAACAGTTAGTTTTAGTGGTTTATGAAATGTAAGTTTGTGTGTTCTATAAATGCTTTATTTTACATTGAGGATAAGACTTAGCCAAACCTATATGAACAGTCTTTTCCCCCACTGGTTTGTAGGCAGTGCCAAAATATACTTCATAGATGGGATTGGCCTTAACTTATTTAAAGAGAAAAAAAAGCAAGCAGTCAAAAAAACCCCTGCTTCACCTTGTAAATTCCACCCTTATCCTCCCGCCAAGAGCTAACCACACTGGTGAAGCACTATTATTATAACTTGGCAAGTGAGTTGCCTCTTAAAATTAGACATCTGTGATTAAATAGTTAAATCATTCCCTAGATATGTATATATTTAGAGCTCCCAGAAAGCTGGTTATCTTTTCTTATAGCTAACACATTTTTAAAAAGCTACTTTTCTCTTGGTGATAAATATGTGTGTGTCATACTGTGGTATAGCTGCATGTCCGATCAAATGGTCCTAGTTTCCAATTGACAGTAGCTTTATTAAATCTTTTCTAAGTGATAGCTGAAGCATTTTAAATTCAAGCAAAGTAGGATTCTAAGACGTGTACTTGGAGCAAAGTTGCATAGTCATTTACATTCTAGAATAATCCTAAAAGTAGGAAACAATAATTGGCCATGTGGTCATGTGCTAATAAAAGAACACCTTGTCCAAGATACCAGGCTTTTTCCTGTTTCAGTGCTTTTTGTTCTGACTCTTGCCTCTCCCTGTGGTGTCCTTTCCCACCCCAGGTATGTACATGATTCTTCTCCTCCTACTTCAGGAATCCACTCAAATGCCAGGCCCTCAGTAAGGCTTTCCCTAGCCACCCTATTGAAAACAGCATACCTCTTAACTGTTTCATTACTCTATGAAATGATCGTCCATATCTATGGAGGTTTTTTTCAGACTTAAACTTCTGTGAGTGCAGGGGTTTTATTCAGTGTTGCATTCCCAGTGCCTGGAATAAAGAAGTATTTCAGTAAGGTACTGAAAGGTACTTACTGAAGGTACTCAGTAAGTATTTCTGGGGTGGATAAATGAATAGTAAAGAGAGCACCAATCCTGTGACTTATTCTGTTACCTGCATTGTATCTGGGAGGAAGGCTTGAAACTGACATACTAGTGGGCACCTGGTTGAATATCTGTTATAATATGCATTTTTCTGTAATTTTCTTTGGTGTTTGAGACATTTAGTAAACATAACTGTATTATCCTCAGTTCGTAGCAGGAAAGAATTTTTTAACTGCAATTTACTTTACATATGTGCGTCATTGCTAGATTACCCAAGTTAAAGTGACAGGAAGCAACAAAAATGCTCCAAGCCATAATAAAATGGTAGATTGGTTTTTTGTTTGCTTGTTTGTTTCTCTCTTGTGTATATTTCCATTTTACTGCAAAACATACCAAATAATTGATTGTAGATTTTGCCACAAGGAATCATGTATGCTGTAGAAGTGAAGAGCTATTCCACTTTTTTTTGTTTGCTGCTGGATCTCCAGCACCTAAGAACGTATGTGGCACTTTATTTAATGTCACTCAGTCAGTATCTGTTGGATAAGTAAATAAATCTAGAGGTTGTTTAAAATTGCATACATGAGATTATTGTCAAAATGTCAATTCATGATCGAAAGAAGATGTGCATTTGAAATCTGATATCTTCTCTTTTCTTCCACAGAGCCCCTCCCCAGGAGGCAAAGGATCACCCAGCTGCTGGAAGGTATAGGTACCCTCAATGGCTCAGTAGCCAGTGTAGATCCTGTCTTTCGTAATCAGCAGCTACATCTGGCTACTGGGTCTCTGATGGCATCTTCTAGCTTCAGCTTCAGTGTCCTGAGAGAGATTATTGATCTCTTAATAATCTCTTCAATGATGAAAACAGTTCTTAATAATGAAAACTTTACCTTGAATCACACACACACACAGACACACACACACACACACAAAGAGAAAGAGAGAGACAGAGACAGAGAGAAGAGAGAGTCAAGTTCTAGGGTGTTAAGTCCAACATTATCAGCTGGGGCTTGGGAACCCTCAAGGTTTTATGAATGATGACATCTATTTGCTTTCAATACTACAAGGGGGAGGAATCTGGATATTTATCCATGTTTTACCTCTTACCTCTTTTCGTTTTACCTCTTTTTTTCTCTTTCCTCCCTGTGAAAGGTATCATTTGGATAGATCAATCTATTCATCTATCTACTTACCTACATACCCCTACCCATCCATCCATCTATCCATCCTCCCATCAATCCATCCATCCACCCACCTACTCGCATACCTATCCAACCTTCCTTCCATCCGGCTTTTTCATCTCTTGACTTTTAGATGGCATTTTCAACATGATGTGGTGATTAAATAATGAAACTTGATGATATGATGGTTTAAGGAAATTTTATTGGCAGTAGGTAAGTGCCAGCATTTCTGACTGTTGGTTGTCTTTTCCTTGTGGTAGAAAAGACAAATGCCAATTTTGAAATCTTGAATGCAGTAGGCAATTGTGTTGAAATAGTATGTGAGAATTCCTTGCAAGCTGAACATCCAGGTCTGGGGCATGAACCTGGCATACAATGTAGATTTCTGTGTTCGTTAGGCAACAGCTACATTGTCTGCTGGGTTTCAGGCTACCTGGAAACATGTTCTCCATTGGCTGTCTCACCGATGCTTCACCTACTCCTATAATGTTTCTGAATAACTGTTTTCCAGGAGGTATAAACCAGTGGAGTTTATCATTGAATAGAGTACAGAGAAAGCACCGCAAGAAAGCTGATCACCTCAGCAATGAACGATTTCAGTATGATTTCACCCCAGTGGTCTCACACACCAGCCTAGTAAACCAGAGATAAGGTGTAATGTCATCCTTCCTTCTCCCTGCCTCAACTGTCAAAGATTGACCGCTTACATGTTGTTTACTTTTTGGCTTATTTCTGTTCATAGTTATTATCAGAAGGCATAGCACCCACGAGCCTAATCGTGCTGCCTTACAACCTTATTCCTCTTCATTTTGTCTTCTCACTTACCTGCAGAAACCCAGTTTATTTTTGTTCTGCCCTTACCACACAGCCTTGTAACTGTTATGAATGACCCTCAGTCTCACTGGAATCTGAATCACTCAGGAATTTAGGCAAACTGGATGTTTTAACCACTGTTCAGCTCTCTTATGGAATGACAGAGAACTTGTAAAGATAAAACACCAGTTTGCAGGAAGAAAGGAAGAGAATGGAACTTGCTTCTGGAAAATATGAGTTTTACAATGTGTTTTGTCTGTCTGCTCTCTTAAACTTAATCCTATAAACATTTTTTAAGAACTAGCCATTAAGACTGTTAAGTTCTCAATTATAAAGGAATAAAATGTTTTAAGGAGGATTTATTTGCCCTTGCTTATATGAACTGCATATTTTTAGTAGAAAATCATGTAATTTAAATTAGTATTGAATGTAGAAAATGGACATATAAAGAATACAAGGATGAATGTCTACATGTAATAATGGATGGTAGTGATATAATGCATTTTTGTCATCCCATGCTGAATTCAGTAAAAATAAAGCTAATGACTTGGAGCTTTTAAAATATTGTACTGTTCTCTGTGTGTGTCTTTTGGCTTCCTACTCACCAATCAGTTCTATTATCTATTCTGTACCTGAGCCACTGGCTTTTGTGGCCCAGGAAGACAAAGTCATTCCACTCAAGATGTTTGACAGGCTTTGAAGAGTAATAAGTGGCTCTGTGCAACACGATTATGTTTAATAAATCATAATTACCAACAGGACAGTTTCTCTTCTCCCATGCCCACTCATACTTTTTTTTTTTTTTTTAAGAGATGGGTTCTCATTCTGTCATTCAGGCTGGAGTGCAGTCGTACTGAACTCCTGGGCTCAAGTGATCATCCCGCCTCAGCCTCCAAAAGTGCTGGGATTACAGGCTTGAACCACCATGCCCAGCCCTCCAGTCCTATACTTCTGATGTTCTTTGAGTCCCTTTGCCTATCATTAAATGAGAAGGTGTTGACAGTGGTGCCAGGTGTAAAGAACTCCCTAATTCCATTGATAAGTTTACATTTACCTCTCAGGTACAAGTATTGGGTTGATCCTCAAAGCAAGATTGAATACTGTGATAATAAGAAAAATACATATTTGTTCTTCACCCTCAGTTCCTGGAAGAGAACGCCTAAAACTCTTGTAATTTTCTAACTAATAGAGTTGATATCATCTTTTGTTAAAATATTTGGTCTTAGCCCCCTGTTCCTGACACAAGAGCTTCTAAGATCCTTGGACTCTCGGGAGTGATGAGTGTCTTTTTGTGTGCTAACAAGATAATGAGATGACTTGGTTTAGTGGGGAGTAGAGGTGGTGGCGAGGTAGCTTCAGGATGAAGGCTGGTTGTCAGAAAGACCAAGGTATGATTAGAGGGTTGGAACTGTCAACATTCAACCCCACCCCTGACCTCTGACAACTGAATGGATCACTGTCATAGTCCATTCATGCTGGTATAACAAAGTACCTGAGACTGGGTAATTTATAAACAACAGTAGTTTATTTTTTTACAGTTCTAGAGGCTGGGAAGTCCAAGGCCAAGGCTTTGGCACTCAGTGTTGGGTGAGGGCCTTCTTACTGCTTCGTCACATGACAAACGGGCAAAAAGAAGATGAATGCTGTGTCTTCACATAGGAGAAGAGAGAGGACCCACTCCGTCAAGCCCCTTTTTAAGAGCCCTCGTCCCATCAGTGAGGCCTCTTCCCTTGCAGCCTAATCACCTCTTGAAGCCTGTCCCTCTTAATAGTATCACACTGATGACTAAGGTTCAACATATGAATTTTGGAGGACACATTCAGACCATAGTGTCTGGCTCCTGGCCCCCCAAATTTATGTTCTTACATATGAAATATATTCATTCCATCTCAGTAGCCCTAAAGATCTTAACTTGTTCCAGCATCAACTCAAAAGTCTAGAATCTCATCTAAATCAGATATGAGTGAGACTCAAGGTAAGGTTCATTCTGAGACAAATTGCTTCTGTGCTGTGAACCTATAAGGTCAAACAAGTTATATACTTCCAAGATACAACAGTGGAACAACCATAAGATAGACATTTCCATTCCAAAACAAAGCAATAGGAAATAAGGAAGGAATAACAGGTCCTACGTAAGTGCTAAAACCAACAAGGTAAACAACATTAAATCTTAAGGCTTGAGAATTATCTAGACACACTAGAGTGGAGGTTAAGCCCCCAAAACCATAGGGGGCCTCACTACCATGGTTTTGTTGGGCATATCCCACACAGTACCTTGCAAGTTGCAGTTGGGTGTTTGCAACTCTCCCAGGCTAGGATCACACTTCAGTGGCTCTGCAGTTCTGGAGTCTCAGAGGCAGTCCCAATCTTATGGCTACACTGGGCATTGCCCCACTGGGGACTCTGGTGGCACTATCCCTGTCTCAGTTCTCTGTATTGGTCCTGAGGCTCTCCAAGTCATCCATTGAAACCTACGTGGAATTAGTCATGCCTCCACAGCTCTTGCACTCTGTGTGTCTGGAGAGTTATAATGTGGACACCGGGGGTACTAGCCACACCTAGGCATACTTGCACCACGGCTGAGATGGGTGAGGAATGCTACACTGAAGTAAATGGAGCAGAGATGAGGTATCACTGGGCAGTGAACCCTGGGGTTCTTTGGTTACCCTAAGCCCCTAGTTTAGGTTATGTGCCCCAGGCCTTGGCACTCTGGGCTCGTCTTGAGAAAGGCAGCACCAATAGTCTCTGATATGCCTTCAGGGTGTTTTTTGTTTTGTTTTTGAGACAAAGTCTCACTCTGTCACCCAGGCTGGAGGGCAGTGGGACGATCTCAGCTCACTGCAACCTCCACCTCCCAGGTTCAAGTGGTTCTCCCACCTCACCCTCCCCAGCAGCTGGGATTACAGGCGTGCACCACCACAGCCAGCTAATTTTTGTATTTTTAGTAGAGATGGGGTTACACCGTGGTCAGGGTCACTTTTCATTGTCTTAAATGGTATATGACTTTCTTCTATCCATACTAATTTCCTTGCAAATGGTCACTTCACACCCCTGGTGTTTTCTTCTGAATGCGTTTGCACTTGGCCAGGCTGAGAATTTTCCAAATCTTTAAATTCTGCTTCCCCTTTGATTTTATTATTGTTATTTGAGACAGGGTCTTGCTCTATTGCCCAGGCTGGAGTGCAGTGGTGTGATTTCAGCTCTCTGCAGCCTTGACCACCCAAGCTTAAGTGATCCTCCCACCTCAGCTTCCCGAGTAACTGGGACTACAGGCATGTGCCACCACACCTGGCTAATTTGTTTGTATTTTTGGTAGAGACGGGGTTTCACCATGTTACCCAGGCTGGTCTTGAACTGAACTCAGTGGATCCACCCACCTTGGCCTCACAAAATGCTGGGATTACAGGCATGAGCCACCATGCCTGGCCACTCCTCTCATTTTAAATTCTATCTTTACTATATTTCTCTCTTCTTGCATTTTACTATAAGCAGTTAAGCCATGCAGTACCCTGAACACCTTGCTCAAAGATTTCTTCTGCCAAATCCTAGTTCATCACTCTGCCTTCCGTAAAGTTATGCCTTCTGTAAAGTTCTGCCATAAAATTTCTTCCGTAAAATTCTGCCTTCTGTAAAGTTCTAGGAGGTGGGCAAAATTCTGTCACGTTCTTTGCCATTTTGCAATAAGGATGACTTTTCCTCTGGTTTCCAATAAGACACTCCTCATTTCTATATAATACTTCATCAGGATGGCCTTTACTATCCGTATATCTGCCAGCATTCTGATCATGATAACCTAGGTACTCTCAAAAAAAGCCTGTCTCTACAGCTTTCCTCCTCTGAGCCCCCACCAGAATCATCCTTAATGCTCTGTTCATGGCAATGTATGCTTTTTCTAGCCTGCACCTTCAAAATCTTCCAGCCTCTACCCACTACCCAGTTCCAAAGCTGTGTCCACATTTTTAGATATTTGTTATAGCAACACCCCAATTTTCTAGTACCAGTTTCTGTTTTAGTTCATTTGTCCTGCTATATCAAAGTGCCTGAGACTGGGTCATTTATAAAGGACAGAAATTTATTTTTCTCACAGTTCTTGAGGTTGGGAAGTCCAAGATCAAGGCACCAACATTTGGTGTCTGGTGAGGACCTTCTTACTGTGTCCTGACATGATGGAAGGTGGAAGGGCAAAAGAGATGAACTATCCTTACATGGCAGAAGAGCAGAAGAGAAGACCCCACTCCCTCAAGTGCTTTTATAAGAGCCCTAATCCCATCCATGAGGACTCTGCCATTATGACTTAATCACTGCCTAAAAGCCCCACCTCTTAATATTACATTGGTGATTAAGTTTCAACATACAAATTTGGGGAGATGCAATCAGGCCACAGCAATCATCAATGGCCAATAATGTAATCAATTGTGTATGTAATAAAACTTCCATATAACCCCCAGAATTATGAGGTTCTGATAGTTTCTGGGTTGGTGAACACATGGAGATATTAAGGGGATGGCATGCCAGGAGGCTGCGTGGAAGCCCCTCATCCTTTCCCGCATACTTTGCCCTGTATATCTTTTCCATTTGGCTGTTCCTGACTTGTACCCTTTATAATAAACCATTAATATTGAGTAAATTTTTTTTCTGAGTTCTGTGCCCTGTTCTTGCAAATTATCTAACACAAGACGGGAGTAGTGGGAACACCTGATTAATAACCAGTCAGAAATACAAGTGGTTCAGAACTTGGAATTGACATTTGAAGTAGGGACAGTCTTATGAGTCCTTAACTTGTGCCATCTGACACTGATTCCTGTTAGATGGTGCCAGAATTAAATTGTAGGGCATTCAGCTGGTGTCAGAGAATTGGTTGGTGTGGGGGAAGAAACCTGCACATTTGATGTCAAAGTGTTAAGCATGAAAACAAGATGGAAAGGTGCAAATGACCAGGGACTTGTTTTCTCACTTTTTCTCAACTGTTTTTTCTCTCATTCTGTAAGACCCATGAAGCAATGGACATTGGTTTGTTGGCTCTTACTAGAAGAGGCACAACAACCTGACTATATTCTTTTAAAAAAACTTTTCATTTTGAAATAATTTCCAACTTCAACAAAGTTGGAAAAATTATACAAAGGCAGCACCGGTGGGAGTTTCAAATGGTACAGCTGCTTTGGAAAAGTTTGGCAGTTCCTCAAATACTTAAATAGCATTACCAGATGATTAGGAAATTTCACGCCTATGTGTATACCCAAAAGAATTGAAAACAGGTACTCAAAGACATGTGCATGCATGTTCATAGTAGCACTATTCTTCATCACAATAACTGTAAGGCGGAAATGTCCATCAACTGATGAATGATACAATGTGTTATGTCCACACAATGAACTATTACACAGTCTTAAGAGGAATGAAGTGCTGATTCATGCTACAACATGGGTGAACCTCAAAAATATTATGCTAAGTGAATGAAGCCAGATACAAAAAGCCACATATTATGTATTTCCATTTATATGAAATATCCAGAATAGGCAATTCTATAGAGACAGTAGATAAGTAGTTGCTAGGTTTGGAGGTGG